AAAAAAAAAAAAAAAAAAAAAAAAAAAAAGCAAAAGGAAATAGAAAAGTTTTTTTTTTTTTATAATGTGTATATAGATATGTACATAGATATATTATATAATATTTTAGTAATAAAAATTTTTCTTGTTACTCAACCGCAATTAACGTCATCGTCTCCATAAACTAACTCGACGAAAAGCGGTTAAAAACAGCAAAAGTTCTACAGTTTGTCGGTTCAGCCATCTTTTATAGTGTGATTCCACAGTGAAAATTAGATGGATCTGCACAATATTTACACTAACAAATATCCTCCACCTCCACCTCCACCATTTTTTCCTTTCTCAATTCGGACACTTTATCCACATATACATCCCCGTTCGTTAAGTTACTCTCTACAACAACAACAATCAGCTTGCGCAGTTACAGACTGTCATTCGACGCAGTCACAAACAAATGGCTCGACGGTATCTGTCTGCAATTACCCAAACTTTTCGTTTAAAACCCCGCAATTTTTCTTCCCCTTTCTCTTCACCATATTCCCGCCCCGGTTAACACTTCTTTCATATTACAATGAATTAAATTCCGCTTACTACAGGTGTATACGCAACAAGAAAAAGAACAAAGAATCAAGAGAAAAAAGTGAAAAAAAACTATGCAAAATATATTAGCAAAAATCTTGACGCCTTCGCACTTATGTCAATATAAACATACAAAACGGTACTGTTTTCAGAATCAATTATCGAGCTTTTTTTCGTTTATTTCTCCCCTCCTCCTCTTCCACCACTCCAACATCAGCACCATCATCATCCACAGCATTGATACCCATCATTTGTATTAAACTAGTGTAAATATCAAAAAATTTTTCCAAAAAACTTTTTCTATTCAATAAAAATTGCTAAATGAAAACGTGCTCTTTTTGTACTTTTCCTTTACCGTTTACTGCTCTACCTTGATAAAATTAAATTAGATGAAAAAATGCTTTTTTCTCCGCATGTTAACACACTGTAAATTGCATTTTTCTAAATTTTTCCAATAACATTGGGTTTAAAATAAACTTTTTCTACTGTAATTTATAAAAAAAAATTATCATCAGCAGTGCATTGTCAAAAATCTTTACTGTGCAAACAAAGAAAGAAAAAAGCATAGCAGGTTGATAGTATTGCCCAATACGGCAAAAATAAAATAAAGTTGACAGTTTGCCACCCTGATAAACATTTTTTTAGTATACAGCTAACAATGACTAATTAATGTTTCCGTTTGATATCAAAAAGAAATAAGCAAAACACAGAAAAGATTAGAAAGCAAAATAGCGTAAAGCATTAAGCTTTTTTTTGCTTTTTTCTTCTATCATATGTTTCCTAATAAGTTTTCGCTTGTTACCTTTCCCATTCGCCTTTTTCTTGTACAAGACGTCGACTTGTGCCATAAACTCAACTCGTGTAAATAAACTTTGTACCTCTAATTTATAGTTAAATTTAGTTGGTTTTTTTTTCAATTTTAACAAACCAAAAGATAAAAAGATTTGGCAAATAGATCAACTGCTTTAATAACAACCAAATAATCAGCGTGAAAAACAAAGAAAAGACAACGTAAATCAAACTTGCTGTATCAATAAAACTGTGAATCAGCAGTGATGTATAAGCGTAAAATTTTTGAAGCAGTGAGATTAACTGCAAAAAAAGAGAAACTTTTCAAAGAAACAACTAAAATGTTAAGCGCAAAACTAATTGTGTTATTAATTTATTGCTAAAAATCAAGATTTTTTTTCCAAAATAACACTGCTGTATTCTGCTTGTTCCCTATTCCCATCCAGCTCATTTT